TAGAAGTGACTTGTTGACCCTCAGAACTAAATATAGGGGTAATAATAATAAAATTGTGATTTTTTTTTATCATATCACACATAAAGCAATATAAAATGAACTTTAAAAATATATATTACACCAAAATCATTTTGAAATATTTCAAAAATTTTAAATGGCTACAGGACTTTAAAATATAAGAAACTGACTAAATTATTTGTAAAAGCTTAAGTACTACAATAAAAGTATCAATTAGGGGTGAAATTAGTAGACTAATTAAGTGAGGTTGAAGAAGTGATGCGAGGTAAATCATCTAGTCCAAGCTACTCGAGAGTTACCGTAAACCTTATTCTTTGCTACACTCAATTTAATTCATTGTCTAATTTAGATATCAGAGTGTGTTGAGCCTAATATCTTATGTGTTGTTGTTAGCTTATTGCATTTTAATCTGAATTCAATTTCTACACCGCCATGTTCTTATTTTTATTAATATAGAATCTAATTCTAAACATTTTTTTTTTACAGATCTAATTCTGAATCTTGATGGGCTATTATTGGGACGAATTTATAAATTTCTTAGTCCGTTAACCACTCATTTATATCATTGCTTTAAAGATCTTTCATAAACTTTTCACAGACTTGGTCAATTTCAGAAAAAAAATAGACTATCCACTATATTGATTGAGGAAAATAGTGGTTCAAATGGGAGAAATTATATAATTATATTTATGGTAAATAAAAAAAATATCCAAACTCCAAAGTATGTTAAAGGGGATGCCTAATCGCGGTTTATTCGGCTTTTTGTCTCCTTGGGGCTTGGACCAACCCCACATTAAATTTAAAACTTCTTTTAATTGATATTTCCAATACCACTTTTTTTAAATTCTATTTTTATATTATAAATTTTTTTGGGATAGAACAGAATTAGGATTTCATCCACATATATTATTTATTATGTTAATAATAAAAATGAAATGAGAGTTTTTAGAGATCTATAATTCCCCAAGAACTCTTGGCAATGCGATAGATCCTATCCGCACTACGGGGCCCACCCAGATAGAGCCTCGAGCGATTATGAGGTCACGAGACCTGAAAGAATCGGGACCCTCCATCTTTAGGGGCCCACCGGAGATGGGACGCAATCTGGCCGCTAGATTAAATAACAAATTACTTTATTCTTCCATGTTGACTCTTTTAAGGAGACCTCCCTTCCACGCATCCCAACTGTTTTTCCACGGGCATTATTTATTTAAAAGATCAAAACAATATTAACTAATTTACTATATTAAATTTTAAAATCATAATTCAATTAATAATTGTTAAAAAAACAAGACTGGTRCCAACTCTAGCATTTCTCAACATTTATCCTCTATCATTAGGGTTTTCATATTAATTTTTTCCTTTCCTCAATTATTCAACAAATCCATTAACTTTTTTAAATCAATTTTAATTATATTTATACTATTTAAAAAGTTTCACTTCTATATTATAGTAGGTAGGTATCTGTTTTACTTATCATCGAAAAAAATTATCTCTCTCTTATACATCCATTTTTCTTAATTCTCAAATGATAGTAAATAGGAGATGAGTACCTACTAATAAATACCTAAATATTATTCTTTACAATAAGGGATGAAAGTTAACATAGTTACTAAGTTGCAAAAAGAGCAGTGACCATTAAAAAAAACAGAGCAAACGACTAATATGAAAAGGGTTTGAAAAGTTACTTAGAGCCCCTTTGGTAAGGTTCCCATTTTTGGTTTCTCGTTTTCAATTTTCTGAATAAATCTAAGCATTATGTAACTAACTATGTTTTTATTTCTTTTTTTTAGACATTTTCAAAATTGTGTAGAAATTTTGAAAACAACTAAACAAGTTTTTCCGTTCAATTTGTTCGAAAACATAAATCAAAACATTGTTTTATAATACTTTGATTCATGGATGTTTGAGTCATGTCATTTACTTTTCTTTATTATAGAAACAGTAAAAGTTACCAAACAAATCCCTAATAGTCATCGATATTCAACCGCATTTTATATTTATAACTTAACAACTATATAAATTTTTATCATTTATTTCAGTGGTAAAATGGATGGATGACATATTTAAATTAATTTTTTAAAATATTCGAAATAAATTTTTGAAAAACAAATCATGAAAGAGCATAGCTCAGAAACTCGAGATGTTGTGTTAAAACAACAATAGTCAATTTAGTGGAGATTTTAAATAATTTAGCCCTTCTTTTTTACCAGCAGACGTAAACCAGTGCCAAAGAGGATCCCATTCCCATATTACACCCCCACCTTATGGTCCATATCACTAACTCAGATTCGAAAACGAACTCAGAACTAACAATCCCTCAAACCAAAAAAAGCTTTGAGATCACTCCTCTCTTTCTCTCTCTCTCTTTCTCTTCTCTCTCTACTGTGACGAATGTTTGGAGATGATGATCAAAAGTAGTTAGCCCCAGGAAGAACAAGAAAATCAAATGAAAAATACAGAGAAAAAGACAGCTCCTCTTCCTACCAGAAGGGGAAGAGATCCAGTTTTCTTTCTCCAAGGACAAATCCATTTCACCCAACCCCAATTACTCTAACAAAAACCTAATTCTCAACGTAAAGTTTCTCTCAATGTCGTCTTCCCCTTCCTTTCTTTCTCTATATTTCCTTCCCTCTCCCCTTCCCCTCATCTCCACTGCTAATCTTCTTCTTCTTCTTCTTCTTCTCGAATGCAGCCATCTCGCCGCAAGCTCTCTCTCTTCTCTTCAGAAATGGCCGCGATGAAGCCTCGGAAAAACAACAATCTCTCCATTTTCGCCGTCGTCCTCTCCGTTTTCCTCTTTGGGGTTTTCATGTACAACGAAGACGTCAAATCCATCGCCGAGTTCCCGTTCTCCAGCCCCAAAACAGAGCACCTCCAAGAACAGGGCCCAAAACAGAGCACCCCTGAAATTGACGTTTCAGTGAGTTCAAGAACCCAACTCGAAACAACTCAAGTGGATAACCAGGAAGAAACCGATCAATCCGAGAATCTCAAATCGATTATTTCCAAAGAGGAAGAAGAACAGAGCAATCAGAAGGTGGAGCAATTGCCTACGGCTGAAGAAGAAGACGACGACGACGTTGAATTGCCCCCTGAAGAGTGCGATTTGTATGATGGGGATTGGGTTTTCGACAACGCTTCTTATCCTCTGTATAAAGAAGACGAATGTGAGTTTCTCACTGCGCAAGTTACTTGCTTGAGAAACGGGCGAAAAGACTCCCTTTATCAGAATTGGAGATGGCAACCCAGAGATTGTTCTTTGCCCAAGTAAGATCAAATTTCAATTCAATCACTTGTTAATTTAAATGGGTTCCCTTCCTTATTTATTTTCTTTATAAATCCAACAAGATTCAAAGCAAGATTACTTCTGGAGAAACTGAGGGGGAAGAGGCTGATGTTCGTGGGCGACTCGCTGAACAGGAACCAGTGGGAATCCATGGTTTGTTTGGTTCAATCAGTGATTCCTCCGGGGAGAAAAAGCTTGAACAAGACTGGTTCCCTCGCCGTCTTCAAAATTGACGTATATAAATTTCTTTATCTGGCTTTTTGTCGGTTTCTTCAAATTAAAGATTCAGTCCAAATATTTAGCATTTAATGATGACGATTAAGGCATGATTTCTTAGTCTAATCGAGAAAGTTTTTGGTCGGTCCGTAATCGTCGCGTGGGCAGAGCTTTTAATGGCGAATCTCGTTTTAAAGCTTTGCGATTGAAAAAATGGCATCTTTTGAGTAATGGGGTTTGGATTGGATGTTTGGTGGACCTCTTCCTTTGGAAATACTCTGTTTTAGAAAATGAAGAAGACTGAGAGGTGAATGATCGTGTGCGTGCAGGACTATAATGCTACGGTGGAATTCTACTGGGCACCGTTCTTGGTGGAGTCAAATTCGGATGATCCGACGATGCACAGCATTTTGAACCGTATCATCATGCCGGAGTCCATCAACAAGCATGGAGAGAATTGGAAAAATGTTGACTATCTAGTCTTCAACACCTACATTTGGTGGATGAATACTTTCACCATGAAAGTTCTGTGAGTACTTTTCTTTTAATTACTACTTTCAATTTATATAATTTCTAATATTCATGAAATTACAATATTTGTCTAGGCGAGGATCGTTTGATGAAGGATCAACGGAGTATGATGAAGTTGATCGACCAGTAGCGTATGGAAGAGTGTTGAACACGTGGATGAGATGGGTTGAAGAAAATGTGGACCCTAATCGTACCACTGTGTTTTTCAGTAGCATGTCTCCTCTTCACATCAAGTAAGTTTTATCAATTTTTCTTTGATATATATATCTCAATACAATATGGGAGAGCAGGATTTCGAACTTACAACTTTTTATCAAAAATAGTTGTGTGGTGATATGTTATTTTAAAAATTAGTTTGCAACAAAGCGGTTGAAAAAGTTAAAAACCTAATACCATTGGGTATATAATTAAATTAATTAGTTGAGTGAAAGAGACTTCATCCGCTTTGACTAACAACTCCACCAAAAAGCTCTAATTTACTTTTTGTGAGAATATGAGTGGATTAGAATAATTGGACCGATATATAATATATACACATTAGAAAAAATAAAACTTTAAACCTTAGTGTGGTATTTTATTTCTATTCTAACCCTCAATTCTTTAAAATTATTCTTTTTTTTCCTTAAATTTTTTGAGGTGTATATTTTAGTTCTTAAAACTTAATAAAAAAAATTAATTCTCATCTAACTTCGTCATAAATTATTTAGCAAGTAGATAATATGACTTTAAATACATGGATCTCAGGTAAAAAACAACATAATAACATTAACCAACATACCTAAGAAGTTATAACATTTAAAAAAGAAGAAAAAAAGCTATAAATTAAATATAGTGTGAATGTTTTAACATAATTGTCTCTGATTGATAAAATAGGAGCTTGGATTGGAATAATCCAGATGGGATAAAGTGTGCAAAAGAGACGATGCCAGTACTAGACACGACAACGCCGTTGGAAGTTGGCACCGATCGCCGCCTATTCTATGCGGCTCTAAATGTAACACAGATGATCAAAGTACCGGTCCACTTCATAAATATTACCGCCCTCTCCGAGTATCGGAAAGACGCCCACACCTCCGTCTATACCATCCGCCAGGGCAAGATGCTGACCACCGACCAACAAGCCGATCCCGCGACATATGCCGATTGCATCCATTGGTGTTTGCCCGGCCTACCCGACACGTGGAACGAGTTCATCTACACACGTATCATCTCGTAGTCATAACAACTCCATACCATTATACACCTCTTTTTCTTCTTCTTTTTTCTCTCCCTCTCTTCACTCTTTCTGAAAGCTTTTGTATAATTTCCTCAGATTTTCCTTTTTCTTCCTTTTTTTTTACGTTTGAGTTCGTGTAATTTTTTTAACGTAAGATTAAAGAAAACGATAAAATTGATATCCCAATAATACATGCGTAAGCTTAGCCCACTTGAAAATTAACGTTTAATTTGAGTAACTTGTTATAAAATCTTACATTTTCAGGTCTTGATTTTCCTGTATCGCCAGTTTGTTAAGTGATTTTACGATTCGTTTAATTATTTTTTCTTTTTTGTTAAGGGAAATTGTTTATATACTGTTGAATTTGAAATGGGAGGTATATCCTCGGGGAACTTTGCCAACTTGGGCCCGAATAATTGGCCCAACAATTGATCTCAGTTCAGTTCTAAGATTGAGATGATTCACCCTACGTCTCTAAACAAAGATAGTTGTAAGATGATCCAAGTTATGAGATTATTTCATCTTACTATCCTGTTCCTGTCCTAATACAAAATTAACCACATTTTTGTGTTTTATGTCTTAGAGTTTTGTAGCAGACCACTTTTTTTCCTTTTTCTTTTTTCATTTTGTCCCTCTCTCTTCTTTGACTTGTTAAGAGGCTCACTGTCTCCTAATTTTCAATCTTCTCTGGACAATATAATATGATATGATAAGGAGGGACAAATCTTAAAAAAAAAAAAAAAGTTTTGCTTAATCATGTTTATATTGGCAAGTAGATGTATAACATGAGTCATAAAGGAATTGGTAGAGAACAATGTTTTCTTGCTCACCGAATCACTATATGCCAGAAATTTATTTGTCCACCACTAAAATTTTGACTTGTGTTTATTTGGTAACAAAAAATCTCTTCTTTCCCCTGCATGTCAAATTACTAGTGGCAGGTAGTAGTAAATTCTTGTTACTTAGCTAGCAAGGAAATAGTGTTCATTGGTAGTCACGCTGTAGTTTGCTCTCAGTAACTCAACCTTTTTTTTAAGCAAATAAAGTCTCAGAGATTAAGTTTCCGTTGACTATTTAACCCCAACGAAAAAGAAGAAGAAAAATGTCCTATAAAATAGAAACTATATCTGATATAAGAATTAAATAGTCGATATGTTAGACCTTCTGTTATATTGGTGTCTCAGATATTTTGCATCTTTTCAACAAATATACGCGTATCATCACTTCCTCTTTTAAATTTTCAACATAGATGCATCAATGTTAATCCCATGTAAATCAAACTATGGAAAGTTCCTTTTATGACTTCCTCACTTGGTAGATAGGTGCTCTATACTAACACGTCCCTCATGTAAAAGTTATAAGTTCAGCCCATCATCACGATGTGGCTGTTCAAATAACAGGCCCAATTTTCAAGATGGTCCTGGGCCATATGTTTCAGCACGGCCCAGTCCGTGGCCCTCAAAAGGATTACAATTCGAGTGCCAGATGCATCACTTCTCTTTTGCCACCGCTGACTAGGACCATATATTGAGTAGTTGAGTTGGAGTGTGACACATCGTCCCATTGTATAAGATTTTTTTCCACTCAAATTTATCAAAACCTTCTCTTTATCAAATCAGTAGGTTTGAGTATCGTTCTCTTTGTTTATAAATAATAATGCAATGTCACGAGAAATTAAACAAAACTTTAGTCAAAGTAAGTATAGTTCAGCGGTAATCAACATATATCTTTAACCAACCATGAGGTTGTGAGTTTGATCTCCATCCCTACGTGTTGTATTAAAAAACTTTATTTATAACAAACAAATCAAACGATTAGATATTGAATTAATTACTTTGGGTTTGCTTGCATGTTTTTTCCGGTTGTTTGAATTTTTAGGATTTTGAATGTTTTAAAGTCATTCCATATTTCAAATAAATTGTTTTGTTGTAGCTGGAAATATAACAATTTTTTTTCAGTACAATTGGGATGAGAGATTCGGACTCATGACGACTTCTTAGTAAGGACCGATGTCAATTATCGCTGAATTAAGTTCCTGTCGGCGAAATATAACAATTTTGAATATTGTTTTTTACCTAAAGAAGACAGTGGGTACTAAAATGATTAAATTTTTTAGGACTTCATACAATAAATTACCAACTTCTTGACACTCTTATATTCTAGTTTATTTACTAATATAAATTAAGAATATAATACTAAACTAGTAACCATTTTATCTTAACTTCCTTTCCAATGCACATCCATTAACATTAAGTTAAATTTCCACGTGTCAAATAATTTTAATTGTGAATGCTATACAAAATTTTATTATTTATATTTTATCGTATTCAAATTACATGATTTAAAATAATTTATTGAACTTTTTTTTCTTTTATCTTAAACCGATGACTGTACGGTTTAGACTATGATATTCATAATAAAAAAAATAACAGTAAATAAAATACCAAATCGTATAAGAGAACATAACAAAAGTATATATTTTCAATATGACAAAACCCAATTATTTCAACATAAAAAAGGAAAAGTAGAAATTAGTTAAAAAAACTGGCGTGGAAAACCAGTAATAAACAATAAATACGAAATGAAATATAGAGAAATAATCCAAATGGTTAATGTGGCAATTGAATCACGTAGTCAATTTTAACACATTTATAGAATAAAAATAGTTAACTGTTTAACTTGATGTAGTTAAGTAGTGAAATTAAAAAGAGGAGAAGAAAGGTAAATTTTAGCATAAATATAACATCTATTTATTATCAATGATTCGATTATTTATTATTACGCTTGTTTAACTAAAAACGACGAATCAAAATAATATGGATACATCTCAAAAATTTTTCAATAAATATTACAATTATTCAAATTTAGCAACAAAATGGGAAATTCACTCCCTATTCTATCCCAAAAACATGATTATTTTTTAAAAACAACTACGGTAGAAATCTCCAAATCCCAATTACAACTTTTTTTCAAAGTAAAAAAAAAAGAGGTTAATTGGTTTGGTTGGAATATGTTCTATCGGTGGGATGGGTTCCAAATCCATGTCGATTGATTTCTGTATCGAAACTCGTACAGAAATGCATACCTGGCATAGTTGCAATCTGTATTTCTATAATTTTTTTATTATTGTGCGTTCAACTTTTAATTTACAAATTTTAATATGTTTATTTGTATATTTTATCACGGCTTTGTGGTTTATTATCATTACATTGAATTTTCCATTTGCCATCCAATTAGAAAAATCAGTCCCTTTTAAGTTTCAGCATAGTTGAGGCAGATTATATATTCCCACTCTCTTCGTCTCTTCGCTCTCTCTCTCCCTCTCTCTTCTCCCTCTTTCTCCCTCTCCCTCTCTTCTGTAGATCTCTCCGCTCCCTCTGTCGTTCCGAGGGTCCGAGGGTTTCGTCGTTGCCTCAGATCTCGCCGTGCCTTCACTTCCGCGTATAGGCGTCCGCTCTCCTTCTCTCTCTGCTGCTGTCTTGTTAGATCCGCGGTTGTTTTTGCTATCGAGCAACCATGGCAGCCGCCAGCGCTCCGATCACCATGAAGGAAGCCATAACGGTATGTTTCCTCTTACTTTTCTTTTCTTGGAAATTTGAATTATGCACTGGCTCAGCTTAATTCCGGATTGTAATTGTGTTCCCATGTAGCCAGGTCTTAGATTGCTCAATTTTGTTTCGAGTTCGCATCCTGTGCTACCTGCTTGATTTGTTAATTTAAGTTGTTTTGACTTTTTACCTCTTATTTCAGTTGGCTCAGATCCGATGCTTGTTCTGTTTAGATCTGTTACTTTGTTGTCTATCTTACATTTGTTTCTTCATTTCTGGCTATTAGTTTGGGTCTATCGAGAGCACCAATTTTTTTTTCCGACAAGATGGATTGTATACTTACTGATCGGGTTGTCTGATCTGATGTAATTTCAGCTTCCGAGCATTGGAATTAATCCGCAATTCATTACATTCACGCACGTGACGATGGAATCAGATAAATATATTTGTGTCCGAGAAACATCACCGCAGAATAGTGTGGTGATTATCGATATGAACATGCCAATGCAGCCGTTGAGGAGGCCTATTACTGCGGACTCGGCACTTATGAATCCCAATTCTAGAATACTGGCTTTGAAAGGTATGATATGATTATTATGAGTTAATATATATATATATATATATATATATATATATATATATATTTGTTTTAAAATATTGTGGTGGTAAAAATGATAATAACGGAAACGTAGCTTTAAAATTTGATATCATTGATTTTGTTTCTAATCCTGTGTTGTTGTGGAAGATTTATGCAAACGACTTTCTACGACTTTGCATTTTTCAATGATGTTTGAGCCAGTGGAATTTAATTTGAGTTCCATCTGCATTGGGTTTGCTTAAGCTACAACTACTGAGAAAATCACTTAAAGTGCTCAAATTTCTAGTTTTTTGAGTTCAACTGTTTTACATTCTTTAAAATGGATTTTCAATATTGACGCGTATGAACGTAATATATGATGGGAAAGAGACACTCTAAAACATAAAGAATCTCTTTTATCTGCAAAGACAGGATTCACATAATCATTTTTAGTTGAAGTTCCGAATGACTTGAAAATATGTACTTAATGTAGTGTCTGTGCTGAACTGAACTCACTTTAATGTGAGCTTTATGTTTTGAAAATAGGAAACCCTTTCTATGGTCCGTGTTGGTTTATTTTTTGGCATAGGATTTATATCTATTATCTGTTTATATTATTATTATTATTGCCTATTTTGAACTATACTTGCCTATTTTGCACCATTTGTGTAGCTCAAGTTCAGGGATCAACTCAAGACCACCTACAAATATTCAACATTGAGATGAAGGCAAAAATGAAATCACATTTGATGCCTGAGCAGGTCGGAACTCTTTTTCTTTTCGGATTGAAACTCTCAGGTTGTTATGGATCATAATTTTCTCAGTGAGATCACATAGCAGTCATTAGTTTGATTTATTTATAGGTTGTCTTTTGGAAATGGATAACCACTAAGACATTGGGATTGGTCACACAAACTGCAGTATATCACTGGTCCATTGAAGGTTGGAAACATTTTCTAGTAACATTTCAAGTAATTATCAGCAGATATTAAATAATTTGTGTTATGGATACACTCACATGTGTATTTGTATTGCTTCAAGCGCAATTTCATTATTCGCCCCTTTATGGTCTTCACTCCCTCTTCTTGTAGGCGAATCTGAACCGGTGAAAGTGTTTGATAGAACAGCCAATCTGGCTAACAATCAGATTATAAACTATCGGTGTGATCCTTCTGAAAAGTGGTTAGTTTTGATTGGGATTGCACCTGGTTCACCTGAGGTATGTTATCATTTTTCTTTAATTCCTCTTCTCCATGAATACAGAACCTTGTTATAAATTTGTACATTCAACAGTTTTATGGATGGTGAAAATGTAAATGGCAAAGTTCTTTTTTTTTTAATAAGAAACATGTATTTCATTGATGATATGAAATATACAAAAGGCTGCATAGGCAAGTTACAAAAACGCAAATGGCAAAGTTCTTTTTACTTCCCCATCCACATGGAGGAAAAATGATTCAGATAGCAATACTATATGCAATACATTGTACTGGTTCTGGTAACGTCTGGTTTTAGTATCAGGAGTGATAAGGTATATAATTAACAGTGTTGTAGTTGATTGGGACTAGAGCACTACCAACTCTAAGTATGGTTCAGGCTTCATCCGTTCATCGTATAATAGTTTCTAAGCCATGTTTCCTTCTTCCTGAAGCAAATTTGAAGACCATTATAAGTGCTTTTAGCCTCTTGGTATTTTAGAACTTAGAATTATTGGGTACCACTCCTTACTGTCCTACTTAGCTGGTTGCCTTATGTCATAGCCTTTTTACCTCCTTGATGAATATACCTCCTTTTCATCTTTTTATCTCCTTCTTGATGAATACAAATTGTTGGTTTTGTAGCTTAATTATTTTTTTGGTATCTTGAAGTTGATGGCGTGCCAAAATTTTATCCATGTTTGCACTTATTGTATTTTGTAGAAGTATTGATGCTTTCACAACTCTAGGGTGGTTGTGGTTCTGATATGCTTTTCCTTATTATACAGAGGCCACAACTTGTGAAAGGGAATATGCAACTTTTCTCTGTGGATCAGCAGAGGAGTCAAGCTCTTGAAGCACATGCTGCATCATTTGCTCAATTTAAAGTATGAGGCGTTTTTTCAGTTCATGCACTTTTGGTGTATTCTTCAAATGTTAGTTTTGCTTTATCTGTTTTTTCTTTTTAAACAGCTTCCTGGGAATGAGAATCCTTCTACTCTTATATCCTTCGCCACTAAGACACTTAATGCTGGACAGATCACTTCCAAGTTACATGTCATTGAACTTGGTGCCCAGCCAGGTTAGCTTGTTTGCTTGCTCTTATATATTATATTTTGTTGTTTTCTGGGGATAAATTTGTTGTGCAGTTTAATGGGTTACTGGGTCAAAGTTACAACTGGTGTAAAATATTAGGTTTGGCTGTTCTCTGACTGCATAGGTCACAATTTTCTGGTGTTGCAATTGGTATCACCGAAATGAATTCATGGCCATCCAGATTGAATCTCCGTCTTCATTATCATAGATGTTTACTCATGCACAATCCCTCTAGAAAATTGATGAGAACTATTTAGATCTTTGAGTGAGGGACTGTAAGAAATCATAAACCAAAAACCTTGAAAGTGTCTGAGGGTAGTACTGGAGACCGAGAACCGAACCAAGACAGGTTGAAGTAGTTTTATGAAGGCTCACACTGTGAAGTGCTAAGACTTCTGTAAACATAGTTGTCATGGTACATTTTCTAAATGTGATTATTCACAGGAAAACCATCATTTACAAAGAAGCAAGCAGATCTATTCTTTCCACCTGATTTTGCTGATGACTTTCCTGTGGCAATGCAGGTATTAGAGAGTTACTACCTTTGCTTGACCAAATCCTAGTAACCCCTTTTGTGTAAATTTTAGTAATGGTTTTTATTTACAGATCTCACACAAATATAGTTTGATCTATGTGATCACCAAGCTCGGCCTGTTATTTGTATATGACTTGGAGACAGCTGCTGCTGTGTATAGAAATAGGATCAGTCCAGATCCTATATTTTTGACAGCAGAGGCTTCTTCGGTGGGAGGTTTTTATGCAATAAACAGGAGGGGCCAGGTGTTACTGGCCACTGTCAATGAACAAACAATTATCTCCTTCGTCAGTTCCCAAGTATGATCATGACCAAATTTCCTTCTCTTTTGGAATTATATATTTTTTTCATTCTGTATTAAAGTGACTCGGACTTTTTAAAACTTTTTGTTGGTTGTGACAGTTGAACAATTTAGAGCTTGCTGTCAATCTTGCTAAAAGAGGAAATCTTCCTGGTGCTGAAAATCTGGTAAGCTTGATTATATAAACGTAGTTCTTTTGATCCCACCATGGGTTGTTCATCCATTGGTCAAATAGGAAAGTTAGGGTCTGTAAAAAAAATCCCCTGGAAAATCCAATAAAACCATACAGGTTGGTTTCAAATAATTGGAACTTGTTTGAAAGAGGTGGGTCAGTTAAAATTAGTTTGAGTTGCAACTCAAGTTCATTAATATAAAAAAAAAACTCCGGATAAAATTTCTTAAGCTGTATTAATTTTACTTGGTGCTCTGCTTCTTTTTATTTATTTATTTATTAATTTTTTTTAATACCAAAATTTGCAAACAATAATTTACTAGATTAGCTTGACTTGTTTTGTCACGTAAAGTCAAATTTTTTTATGAAGTTTGCTTTGTTCTTATTGCTTCAAATTTAGAATCGATGATTATCATTCATGCCACTCTTAGCAATTTTTGGGTGGTTGATACATCCTTTCATAATTTTCACAGGTTGTCCAGCGTTTCCAAGAACTTTTTGCTCAAACAAAGTACAAAGAAGCCGCTGAGTTGGCTGCTGAATCTCCTCAAGGAATCCTCCGTACACCAGATACCGTTGCAAAATTTCAGGTCTTTTTTTCTTTTCCCCTCGTTTCCTCCCAAGTGTTGGTCATTATTTATAACCTTCGTATGTGTCATGTTATGCCATTGCTGTTGCTCTATTTTATTTTTGGATTAGGTCCCCGAGTGTAACTTGCTTGCTTTCTGCACGCAAAAATATATTTGTATATTTGCTTTCTTTGTTTTATATCTTTTTCCATGGGCGATAATATCATTTCTTCTCCTTTTTTGAGGTCTTAAATTGGTAAATAATTACTATATTAATGAATAATTACGAAGTAATGTTGGCTGGAAGACATTATCTCAAGAAAAATTGTATCCTTGATGTTGATTGGATCTTGGGGACACCTTGACGAAGGGGTTTCTTTTTCATTTCTGAATTATTACATGGGTTGATATTAATTAGTATATTTATGAAATGATGCAGAGTGTACCGATGCAAACTGGTCAAACACCGCCTCTACTGCAGTATTTTGGAACTCTATTAACGAGAGGAAAGCTGAATGCATTTGAGTCATTGGAACTATCCCGTCTAGTTGTAAACCAGAACAAGAAGAACCTCTTGGAGAATTGGTTGGCTGATGACAAGTTGGAATGCAGTGAGGAACTAGGGGACCTTGTGAAGGTTTGATTGCCCCCCTGTTGATGTCTCTTTTTTCTAGTTTCATGGGAGAAAATTATGTACTCCCTTATTAATTTAAAATTACGCAATTTGTGTTTTGATATCATTAATTGTGTTTTGTGTAGACTGTGGATAATGACCTTGCCTTGAAAATCTATATAAAAGCCAGAGCAACACCAAAAGTAGTTGCTGCCTTTGCTGAGCGGAGGGAGTTTGATAAGATTCTTATATATTCAAAGCAGGTAAAGGTCTTTGTCTTTTCTCTGCGTGATGTACAGAGTTATCTGATACCAATTTTCAGAGTCCTATTTTGTCATAAAATTAATCCTATTCTGGTTATATCTTCAAGAATTGTTATAGAAGTTTTTCTTGCTATAGGTTGGATACACGCCAGACTATTTATTCCTTTTGCAAACAATTCTCCGAACCGATCCTCAGGTATGCAGATACAAACTCAAAAGGCTTGTTAACTCATATATACAATTGATATCGGAAGACTAAGATTTTTCTTTTCCCTTGATCTATAGGGAGCGGTTAACTTTGCATTGATGATGTCACAAATGGAAGGAGGTTGTCCCGTCGACTACAACACAATAACCGATCTCTTTCTTCAGGTTTGTTATCTTCGTAGTGTTTAAGCTATGAATTTCGGTAATGGTCAATGCTGCTATCATCTTTCTCATCTTGTATTTACTGCATCATCAAAAGATGCAGTGTTTTTTTGCTTTTTCATTTTGTTGCATCACAATAATTTGGGTGAATAGATGGTTAAACATGTGATTATAATATGGTTCCTGCTTTGACCTTTTCCAGAGGAATTTGATTCGTGAGGCTACTGCTTTTCTGTTAGACGTTTTGAAGCCAAATCTACCTGAGCATGGTTTCCTCCAGACAAAGGTATTTTTCCCCCACGTTTCTGAATATAAAAGCTACCTTTGTTTGCTGATGGTATTATTTCAACTTTTTTCTATTGATGTTTTGTAGGTCCTAGAAATCAATCTGGTAACTTTTCCAAATGTTGCCGATGCCATATTGGCTAATGGAATGTTTGGTCATTATGATAGACCTCGAATTGCCCAACTTTGTGAAAAGGCTGGACTTTATGTGCGAGCTTTGCAGGYGAGATTACTTTTAGCAACTATAATCTATTTTCCAATTTTATAATATTTTTATCTCTTTATGGACTCATGCTAGGTTCATTGATTTTTCAACCTACTTGCAGCATTATACAGAGCTACCAGATATTAAACGAGTCATTGTGAACACGCATGCCATTGAACCGCAGGTTTATCTAGTTATTACTTGTATCTTTTATTACCTACTAGGAGTATGTTTATTCGAGATCTTATGCATCGTTATCTGCAGTCACTTGTAGAGTTCTTTGGTACCTTGTCTCGTGAGTGGGCTTTGGAGTGTATGAAGGACCTTTTGCTTGTCAATCTCAGAGGCAACCTCCAGATTATTGTGCAGGTAAACTGACAAACTTTCCATTTTTTAAAAAAAATTGAAAGAGAAGACAAAAACAGCCTAAGGGCCGGGGGAAGAGATAAGAAAAGAAAAATAACGGTTAAGATTATGATGTTTGTTTGTACAGGTTGCAAAGGAATATTGTGAACAGTTGGGGGTTGACGCGTGCATAAAGCTTTTTGAACAATTTAAGTCATATGAGGGCTTGTACTTTTTCTTGGGGTCATATTTGAGTTCAAGGTAATTTTCCTTGTTAGAAAGATTATATTTATTGTAGATAGTTTATTTTTCTCTATAGTTTTTTTAATTTTAATTTTAATTTATTCTTTTAACTTTTTTGGGACAGTGAGGATCCTGACATTCACTTCAAGTACATCGAGTCTGCTGCAAAGACAGGACAGATTAAGGAGGTTGAACGTGTAACAAGAGAATCAAATTTCTATGACCCAGAGAAAACAAAGAACTTTCTAATGGAGGCTAAGCTTCCAGATGCACGTCCTCTAATTAATGTTTGTGACCGGTTTGGATTTGTTCCAGATCTCACACATTACCTTTACACAAATAACATGCTGCGATACATTGAAGGTTATGTTCAAAAGGTATGTAGCTTTGCTAGTTTGGTGCACTTTCCACCTTTCCATCTGCTCAAAATAATTATATGAAGGTTGTTACTATTTAAATCACTTTTGGTGGCATAATTTGGTAGGTGAACCCTGGGAATGCTCCTTTAGTTGTTGGCCAGCTGCTGGATGATGAGTGTCCCGAAGATTTCATTAAAGGTTTGATCCTCTCAGTTCGTTCTTTGCTTCCTGTGGAGCCCCTAGTGGATGAATGTGAAAAGAGGTGCTGTTTCCGATCCGTTCCCTCTCCCCCACTCATTCTTATTTCTTAATTGTTTTCTAACCATATGCTTTATGTATAATGATGAGATCTGTGTTATTTATTTGATGCAGAAACCGGTTACGGTTACTTACTCAATTTTTGGAGCATCTGGTGAGTGAGGGAAGCCAGGATGTACATGTTCATAATGCTCTGGGTAAAATTATTATTGATAGCAACAATAATCCAGAGCACTTCCTCACCACCAATCCATACTATGATTCCCGGGTAGTGGGTAAATATTGTGAAAAACGTGATCCCACTTTAGCTGTTGTGGCCTATCGACGTGGACAATGTGATGATGAGCTTATTAACGTTACAAACAAAAATTCTTTGTTCAAACTGCAAGCAAGGTTAGTGATTTATTAAAATTTTTAATTGTTTAAGTATAATGGAATCACTAGTAGCAATATGGTTTATTCGTAAATATGAACTGTTTTGTAGATATGTGGTTGAGAGGATGGATGGCGATCTCTGGGAGAAAGTTCTTAACCCTGAAAATGAATATAGAAGGCAGCTCATTGATCAAGTTGTGTCTACAGCCTTGCCAGAAAGCAAGAGTCCAGAGCAAGTTTCAGCTGCCGTTAAGGCTTTTATGACAGCAGATCTGCCACATGAATTAATTGAACTTCTTGAGAAGATCGTCCTTCAAAACTCTGCATTTAGTGGAAACTTTAATCTGCAAAATCTGCTCATATTGACAGCCATCAAGGCAGATCCTTCCAGAGTTATGGATTACATTAACAGACTGGATAATTTTGATGGACCTGCAGTTGGTGAGGTGGCTGTGGAGGCACAACTATATGAGGAGGCATTTGCCATTTTCAAGAAGTTCAACTTGAATGTTCAAGCTGTCAATGTCTTGTTGGATAACATTCAAAGTATTGAACGAGCTGTAGAGTTTGCTTTCCGGGTTGAAGAAGATGCGGTTTGGAGCCAGGTGGCAAAGGCTCAACTGAAGGAAGGACTGGTGAGCGATGCTATTGAGTCATTTATCCGTGCAGATGATGCCACTCAATTTCTGGAAGTCATTCGTGCTGCCGAGGATGCAAATGTGTATCATGACCTAGTAAGGTACCTTTTGATGGTTCGGGAGAAGGCAAAAGAACCCAAGGTGGACAGTGAGCTGATATATGCCTATGCTAAAATTGATCGGTTGGCTGAGATCGAAGAATTTATTCTCATGCCTAACGTGGCTAATCTTCAAAATGTTGGCGATCGCTTGTATGATGAAGCCTTGTACGAGGCTGCTAAAATTATATTTGCTTTTATTTCTAACTGGGCCAAGTTGGCTATCACACTTGTAAAGCTGAAACAGTTCCAAGGCGCTGTTGATGCAGCACGAAAAGCAAACAGTGCGAAGACATGGAAGGAAGTGTGCTTTGCTTGTGTTGATGCTGAAGAGTTCCGTTTAGCACAGATATGCGGTCTTAACATTATTATTCAGGTGAATATGACAGTAAAATTCTTCCACTTATTTTTGTCTCTCTCTCTCTCTCTCTCTCTCTCTCTCGTGGATAATGTTGGATTTATTAGATTTAGTTCCACATCCACACATCTTCGTTGCAAGGCCAGGTGCCTTGGGATGCTATTTTGTGGACTTAGGCTTCCATCCTACTGTACTATGGTGTGTGATGTGACTTGGTAATTTGTTAATCATCTTCTGGTGTCTCAATGAATAGGTGGATGATCTTGAGGAGGTCAGTGAATATTATCAGAATAGAGGATGCTTCAATGAATTAATCTCTCTAATGGAGAGTGGATTGGGGCTTGAACGGGCTCATATGGGTATCTTCACTGAGTTGGGAGTTTTGTATGCAAGATACCGCTATGAGAAGCTTATGGAGCATATCAAACTGTTCTCAACCAGGCTGAATATTCCTAAGCTTATACGAGCTTGTGATGAACAGCAGCATTGGAAGGAACTCACCTATTTGTATATCCAGTACGATGAATTTGATAATGCTGCAACTACCATCATGAATCATTCTCCAGAAGCATGGGATCACATGCAGTTTAAAGATGTTGCAGTCAAAGTTGCTAATGTGGAATTGTATTACAAGGCCGTTCATTTTTACTTGCAAGAGCATCCTGATCTTATTAACGATCTTCTCAATGTGCTTGCTCTGCGTGTAGACCACACACGAGTTGTTGATATTATGAAGAAGGTAATACTTTGGAGCCATTTTTTTACCCCAACACCTTATTTTAATAGTCCTCTTAATGCTGAGTACATTCCTATCTTGGATATTAGGCTGGTCACTTGCTGCTTGTGAAGCCATACATGATTGCAGTTCAGAGCAACAATGTGTCTGCTGTGAATGAGGCCTTGAATGGAATATATGTTGAAGAGGAAGACTATGATAGATTGCGTGAATCAATTGACCTGCACGATAATTTTGATCAAATAGGCCTTGCACAGAAGGTGAAGTAATGTTATCCATCTGGATGAGTGAAATAAATCTGGTTGCACAAACTTAAATAATGTGTTTTTTTGCAGATTGAGAAGCACGAGTTACTTGAAATGAGACGTGTCGCAGCCTACATATACAAGAAAGCAGGGAGATGGAAGCAATCCATTGCATTGTCAAAGAAAGACAATCTCTACAAGGATGCCATGGAGACAGCATCACAATCTGGCGACCGGGAACTTGCCGAGGAGTTGCTTGTGTACTTCATTGAACAGGTATATTTGATCTTTATGGTTTTTTTTTAACAAAACATGCTCATGCATTTTGATACAAAAGTTTTAGCGATATATTGAATGTTAAATCACTGCAAGTGATGGAGGCACGTGATTTTAACCTAAGATCCAATAATTGGTAATTATGTCGAAGGTCGAAATTGTTGTTTTTAGATGTGGAAAAAGCTCTTTATTTTCTTGTTTGAACTTGGCTCTAGAATTTATTGTCATTTATTGAATGTCAAGTCACTGCAAGTCTGCAAGTTATGGATGTACACAATTCAAATAACTGAAAATCCAACATTTAAAACTGGGTCAATTAGATCAGATGCAAATAAAAGCACTCCTCTCATTTCTTGTGTGAACATGGCTTGCTTGGTGCTTTTGTTTGAGCCTTGATCTCATAGCTAAGGTAATGGGTTGGACGGAGAGATTTACAAAGGCCTCTCATGGTGGATTCTGTGTTTCATCTGGTTTATCAGTGCTTTCAGGAAGCGCCTATGGCATGCTTTACCATTTAACAAGAACAATGAAAAGATTCACTACATATGTTTTCTCGCTGCTTCACTTTGTTATGTATATAGCATATTGTATCGTAACTTGACATTGTGAGAATGAAATTATTTTTAATCTTTTCATAACTGGCTGCTGTTCAGGGAAAGAAGGAATGCTTTGCATCATGCCTCTTTGTTTGCTATGATTTAATTCGGGTTGACGTTGCTCTTGAACTTGCCTGGATCAACAACATGGTCGACTTTGCTTTCCCATACCTGTTGCAGGTGACTTCTCGTCCTTAATGCAATTTTTCTAATAACCCAGTTATTGATAGGACTTTAAATCTGGAGATACTTTGGACTCCACCAAGGTTTCCTAGGAACTCTGGATGTTGGCCTTTGGTTGTGATGAAAACTGTCTTCCAAGTTAGCCCATTAGCTGTCTTCCTCGTGGCATATTTAGAAATTAGAGGTGCTTGGCTCATAGCTTTAGTTTGTGTAACCTAGAGTTAACAACTCGAGTCTATATTTGAGGTGTGGATTGCTGCACATTCTAGATTATGAGTTTCCTAGTTCTGCGGAAAACACAAATTTAAACTATAAAAATCCAGACTTGTGAAATTTAGCTTTTATAATACTTCATGTTAACTTTTACAAATCATAGAACCCACCCGCCAAACTTGTAGGGGTACATAAAACTCAAGTTTCTATATTCTATTATTTCAGAATCTAAACCTAGATGACACTAATTCAGACTTTCCTACCTCAGGCTTCAGAAACCTAGGTTTATTTATTTATTTTAATTTTTGATAATCGAGTTAGGGCTTTGCTCCAGTATACCTGGGGTACTCACGCTAGCACCAAGACTCGAAATCGGGAGACATAAAGAATTTTTTGTATTAAGCTAGACTTGAACTTGAGATCTCTAAACTAATATGACCATTGCCCTTGAGACCGCCACTTGGGGGCCAGAAACTTAGGTTTATTAAAACCATGAACTAAACATTCCCTCGAGGACTATTCAATGCTTGTCACTCAGCCAAGTTCAGTTAGGTCTACCCGCTTCCAAGTTGCCTGTTCTTTTACTTCTGTTTATCTTCATTGTTCCAAAATATGACTGTCCACATAGTATGTGACCTGATAAAAATTCCTTCATATCGCAGTTTATCCGAGAATATACAGGAAAGGTTGATGAACTTGTGAAGGACAAGATTGAGGCTGTCAAAGAGGTCAAGGCTAAAGAGCAGGAAGAGAAGGACGTCATTGCCCAGCAGGTAAATCCCTCAGTTCTTGTATCAATACCTTGTTTGAAGTTTTCGGTCTTTGTTGGTATCCGTGTCCCAGCTGTTCAATATTTCTTCCTGTATTCTAAAATTTGAGCTCCACCTGCAGAACATGTATGCTCAGTTGCTGCCTCTTGCTTTGCCTGCACCGCCTATGCCGGGTATGGGAGGAGGACCAGGTATGGGAGGACCGGGAATGCCAGGTTTTGCACCGCCACCGCCTATGGGTGGAATGGGGATGCCTCCAATGCCACCTTTTGGGATGCCACCCATGGGTAGCAGCTATTAACACATAGAAAGCCTAGCAAAAAAAGCGGGAATCGACTATAGATTCTAGGGAGAGTTAAAACCTTGCATTTAGGGGGGCTTTTCTTACCTTTATTTTATGCTTCTCCCAAGTTCCTCGATGGATGAAAAAAATCTTGAATTTTTGTCTTTCTGTTCCTGTGTTATAGTGTTGTGGACTTACTTGTCTTGTAATATTCTTTTGGTAGCGCAGGCATTTTTTTGGATGTTGGTGCAGCAACCTGAGGGTTCTGTATTTTAAGATTTTTTTTAATCCCCTCCACTGTAGCTTTGGCCTTTCATCAGGAAATGCTGTTTTTAACGACGATAAGAAACCAGATTCATAGATTATCGTTTTTGTTTCGGCACCTTATATTTTATCCGACTTTCATTTTTGTATCCCTTATGGTGTGAATAATTCTTTTGCTCATATTTGTTAGTTTGAGGCTTACATGAGTTTGCAAATTTAATTTTCTTCAAGACTTGTATCTATTTGGTAATTTGATGAGTTATGGTGTATCGTTTTCAATTTTCCTTTGGTTACGTCTTTCTATTTGATTGTAGTTAACATCACTGTGCTTTAGGGCGAGCCTAATGAAGGGACATCTATTGACATACCAAGTAGAAACTCAATAACTTGCGTTTAATCTGAAAGAAAAACTGTGAACTTTATGTAAGTATTTGTGTTCTCTTTCTACCGAGGGGAAAGAATCGAAAGATGGTTAGCAGTGCAGTGAGGAAATTTTGTGCTACGGAAGAAATAATAATGTAGGCAATGTACTTTGCCATGAAATAGATGCACATGGTGGCCACCAGGTGGTACGAATTGATATTTTACAAGTTTGAAACTCCTTTTTCTATTACCCTTGAATAAAAAACAAAATCTGACCATTATATAATTTAGACGATTGTACATTTAGCATGGACCGTATGGTTGAGATGAAATACTATAAAAACAACTAAAATATTTATAAATATAGCATCCAAGTCGTAGTCATTTAGTAATTAATAATCTTTTGAGAGAGAAAAGGGGGTTTACTTGATGAACTTTACACCAATTTCATTGTTTGGATTACCATGTGAAAGGTCCGGATTCGAAGTCACGATTTTTTTTATTTTTTATTTTTTGTAAAAAATAAGAGCCTTGAGAGTTATGCTCTAGCCAAGTTGTAAAAAGTTGCGGCGGATATTGAGGTGAGGCCAATCCAATTATATGGTGGACAGTAACACGTTGGAGCTACATCATTTGTTAACGCAACCTTGTGATTTGGCACATTTTTCTCACATCTCTTGCCGACGAAATTATTTCCCTCAACCCAATCCCTATCCACAAATTTCACTCTCCATTCTCATAGATACCAGAAGTAAATGGCACCCAGAAAAAGAACCCCTCCCCGCACCCATATTTCTCTTCCAAATCTACAGGATCAAAGAGTTAAAAAAGAGTGAGAGTTGTGCAAAAGAGGGGAAATTATGGGCACCACATGATTTGTGGGAGATGGGACTTTTGCAAAATTGAGAAGTTGATCAGAGGTCGTATCAATCTTTAATGCCCTCTTTACATTCAATTACAATGTTTGTGCAAAATGGGTCCCTACATTATGGCCCCCCTCTTCGTATTTTGCAATTCAAGCTTTGTTGTTTGCTTCTGTAAAGAGAGTTGAGTTTCTTTCTGAACAAGCCGCTATGGAGAGGCCCTCTCTCTTTGGGAATCCAACTTTAATTGGTAAAGTTGTTGAGGTTTCAGGGAGGGTTTGTTTTCTTTTCCTCCTTTATCTTTTATAAGATTGTAACTGTTAACACACCCAAAAGCTACATGAAAAGTTGCCTACAAAGGAGCTTGGAAACATGGAGGAGCTGTTGATGTGGAGTGTGATGTGTTGGGTTCCATTTTCAATCTCCATAGTGGAAATATTCAGTATTATGTGTTGAAAACTCACAGTATTGGTACTTCTTTTAAGTTTGGAATTCTGTATGACCTTGTTTTGGAGGAAGAAGAAACAGAAAAATCCTATGTTTAAAGACATGATACTGTGGTTTTTACAGTACTAAATGTTTTGCTGTATAGATTGGATTGAATGTGATAAAAAGGAGGTTTTTTTACACAAACCCATGAAAGAAATTACCTTAAATCCAAGTGGGTGGGAGTTGATTTTGTATGGAGATAAAAAAAATTTCGCTGAAAGTTACTCAAAAATCAAAGATCTTCTAGATCTGCCACTGTTTTCAGGTCAATACGGGATTGGGATCTCATTAGTTTCAACAATTACTCGAGTTTGTTGCTTATGCTTTTGTTTATGGCTACATTGTTTCAGTTTTTATTTTCTTTCTTGACTCAAACAATCATTTAAATTTGGTGGGTAATGGTTTTACATGAGGACAATCTTTAATTGATGAGATCGTGGAGGCTTAGCTTTATCAAAGGGGAAAAACAGAAACTTCAAACTGAAATGACAGGCATATACAGCCAAACATGATTTTCGTTTGACAAATTAAAGGCTATTGGACGTCACACCAATCACCATCAAGATTTGAAGATCACACACACATTATTTTTAGTGCAATCAACAGTAGCTCTCCAGATGCAACCATAAAAACCAGAGTTTGGGTCGGATTTCAGAAGACTGGTCCTTGCCTCTAGTCATGGAAGAGAACTGGGATTGTTCTACAAAGCCTGAGGGGCTAAATTGGGCTCACTGCAATTCCAATTCAAGCCGTGAACCACCTTCTCTGCTTCTCCCATGGATGATTAATCCTCAGCTTTCGAGCTCGACAGAGCTTCAGTTTGATGGGTTCCCTTCATTTTCAACCCCTTCAGAAGGAATTATTGCAGAAGATAGAGGAGCTTCTGCTTCCAAGAGCCATAGCCAAGCAGAGAAGAGGCGTAGGGACAGAATCAATGCCCAGCTTGCAATTTTAAGGAAACTCGTTCCCAAATCTGATAAGGTACTATCTCTCTCTCTCTCTCTCTCTAACTGAATGACCTGAAACACTGAACATAGCAAAAAGTATCCACTTTTCCATTCTCCCAGTAAATAACAGATCCCATGTCAACAGATGGAGATGGTACAAAGGCTGTTCATTTTCCACTCCTTTCCCCTTTATACTTCTTAGTCTCTTATCCATTAAATTTTCTATGGATTATGTTGAACATGGTTAGAAATAGACCTCCTACTTTCTTGTTGCTTTAGGAGATAAGGGATATTAAATTTTGTGTGGATTATGTTGAACATGGTTAAGAAATAGACCTCCTCTTTTCTGGTTGCTTTAGGAGATAAGGGATATAAATTTCAGGTTGTGTTAAAAGTTCGTGAAGTTATTTCATTGTAATTAGACCAAACAAGAATGGAATCCTGAGGACTTGAACCTACGCATCGGGCCTTGGAAACCCATGTTCCACCAAACTGAACTAAGAGAGATTTCTTGTTAAGCTGGATTCAACCATAAAGAAAAGAATTCCTTTTGTACCCATGTGACTGTTTCATATCAATTCTTTTGTTTGTTATTGCAATATATCTAACCTATGACTAACTGTAAATTGTGATTGTAATGGAAGTTGACTCATAAAAATTGTATAGCTCTTCGTGTTCTCTCTTTTAAACTTATTCTTATGCTTCTAAGAGCAGCAAAGATTCAGGACCCATCTTCTTGTTTCCTATGGCAGATGGACAAGGCAGCTCTATTAGGAAGCGCAATTGATCAAGTGAAAGACCTGAAGAGAAAAGCAATTGAAGTCAGCAAGAACATGACGGTTCCAACAGACATGGATGAAGTAACCATCGACTCCGCCATGGTTGAAGACAACCACAGCACGGACAATATTGCGATAAAGGTATCAGTGAGCTGCGACGATCGGCCAGAACTGTTCACAGAGCTCATCCAAGTGATCAAGGGGCTGAGGCTCACAACAATAAGAGCTGATATGGCTAGTGTTGGTGGCCGCATTAAAAGCATACTTGTCCTTTGCAATAAAGATGGTGAAAGAAGTGTCTGCTTAAACACTGTTCAACAGTCTCTAAAATTAGTATTAAGTAGAATGTCATCCTCGTCGACTGCCTCGACCTGTCGTATTAGAAGCAAACGACAGAGGTTTTTCCTCCCTTCTCATTTCTCCAAGTAATTTTTTCCTTTCTGCCTTCAATCTTTTAATTGTGAACATCCAGCACCGGGTTTATCGAGTGCGATGCTAAATTCATAATGGATAGAGCAAAAGATAAGAAGATGAAAAAACCCAGAAGCATTTGAAGCTGTTGCTACAACAAACTGTCTATCCATTTAAAAGGAGAGGTTTGCAATTAGATTGGAAAACGAAGTACAGATTGTGAATTCCATTAAAAGATTCATTACAGTAGCCTCTTCCGAAGTTGAAACATTAGAAGTTCAATGTGGTACTAGCGTAGTAAAAAAAGGCACAACGAAAAGAGATGAAGCAGAGGAGAGCTTGAGATATATCGGCATAAATCAACAGATTTGTAAAAGCCATATGAACTTCTAGTGACGCTCATATGTCTCACTAAGTTGATTTTCCCTCGAAGCAATATGGATAGAGTTGGAAAAAAAAAAAAAACAAGTAACAATACATAACTAAAACGAACCGTCAATGAAAGATGTGTAGTTTAGACAGTTGCTGAAGGAAAAGTAGTACTATTTTCTATTGTTCTTGTAATTTAGAACTTGGTAACGTAACATTTGATTTTGGGACACGGCTCAAAAGTGTACTATCATTTGTACCGAGAACCAACTATTAAGTCAAAAGTTAGGATCAAATTCAGGGCTCCATCGTCATCTGGAAACAGGGGGAAAAGGAGAAATAAGGTGTAGAGCATTAAAACCAAGCATTAATAGCCTCATTTGCCGTTCGATTAAACTATCATATTGGAATTAGGATTGGAATTTTCCTTCATTATGATTAAAAAAAACCAGAACAATAATAGAACTTCAAAACTCGAAAACTAATCAAACAAAATAAGAACATACAGGGAAGCAGAAACGCTGTCGCATGTTGGACAAACAACCGTAGGTGCATAAATTTTAGAACCAATCTCTACTGCAATCTCGCAAACAAACCGGTGCTCGTAAATTTACTCACGCAGTATTGGAGTAAAAAATAGATGAGGTAATTCACAGGAAGAAGAGCAAAGCGTAACTTCAAAATTGATTCTATTTCTGAACTTTCTTTTCTAGATCATTTTTCTAGCTTTTTTTTATTTCTAACATTAAAACCTTGTAGTAGTACGCAAAAAAATTCTGTCAAGTATAAAAACAAAACATATTTCAAGTTCAAACATCGGAATATATGTCAAGCAGATATAAAGAGCGGGTATTGGCTCAAAGCGAAGCTGTTATGCGAGAGCATGAACTAATATGAAACTAATGGAGTTTGATGCTCATTTTATTTGAGATAATATCACAAAAAGCAGCTATTGGCACTATCAGATACCAAGATGGTCGCAAGTAGAATCAAAGATTGAATCCAATCTTAAACGCAATCAATTGAAGTATTTGCATGCTTACACCAATGGATTGACAGAACGGGAGACTGTTATTACATCCATGGAGACATAAGTGAATAATGTTACGGATTCAAATTTTGAGAAAAAAAAAAAAGAAGAAAAGGAATAGAAAGAGTTTTAAAGTTACCAGTAGCAAACAATGTATCATCAATCGAAATTCCAGGAACTCCAGACAGCAAATTTATAAATGTAGATCCCAGTGGGAGTAAGTCAAACAAAATTGCGGATTGAAACTAAAACAACTCGATAAAATCCAACAAAAACACAAGAAATTTAACTATTACTGTTCCTAGATCAGTTGCGACTAAATAATAACGATTCTCTTTTATTTAAAAAAGACAAAAACTACTTGGATCTTTGCCTCATCTTTCGGCGCTTCCTCTTCAATCTCCTCATTCTCTTCTTCTTCCACTGGTTAATCGAAACAAAAAGCAAACCAACAAGGAAAAAATCAACACAGAAACAAAGCATACAAATCAAAAAACTTCATTCGGAAACTTCCAAACTGACCTTAGCCCTCATCTTGAAAACCTGTTAACCGATCTGATATGGAACAACAATGGCCTCACGAACGAAGAAAAGGCGGACAATAGGAATCGATGACGTTCTAAATGCTAGGGCTTCGCAATCATATATAGTGACCAAACCCTAATTTAAAGTCGGCTTCAACCCGGATGGGCCACTTGGGCCTTTTTTGGGCCTGATGACCGACCGAAGCGGCCCAAAGCTAAAAAATTGCATACAAAAGAATTAAATGTATTTCTCAAAACTATTTTTCTTCTTCTTTTATTTCTCTCAAAACTATCCTTTAACATACAATTATAGCATAAAATTAGAAGTACAAAACACCAATTTTTAAAAATTTGTAATTTCAATGAATTTTTATTAAAACTAAGTTAAACCAACCAACACCGTAAATATGAGCCTAACTAAGTAGTAAAGGACATATTCTACTTTTCTTCAGGTCGAAGGTTCAAATCCCTATACCCGCACATTAATTTGTTGTATTCATTGGAAGAAAAAAAAAGACAACTTGCCAAGACTATTACTCTTGTCAAAAGGTTCAAACTCTCAAACCTTGTTGAAGTCTAAATTTTTATTTTATTTTATTATTGTTATTATTATTTACTGCTGCTAGATTTGTTGCTGGAAATTGTGTGATAATGCCTACAGATGGTGTTTATAATGTAGTTTGTCTATGGTAATGTAATTTAAAAAATATTCCAACTTTCGGGCTATAGTTAATTTATTATTAATTTTTCTTTTTCTTTTTCTTTTGTGAATATTAGTTAAACTTTAGTTAAATGAATATTTTCGTCTCTATATATTAGACTTTAAAAAAAAACATATATATATTGGACTTGATTTATAAATTTTAATATTCTCATTTTATATATCAATCCAATTTAAAATAACAAACTTAGATTATCGAACATGTCGTTTAGTTAGATAGCATATTTAGTTCGTACATATTTTTATTATTATTTTGTGTTTGGTTTCTATAATTTTTATAATTTAATATTTAAGAATATATTTAGTTCCGGATTTTGAAAAAAAAAATTATAGAAAATATTGAATTTAAAGATAACTTGGAAAAAAAAAATATATTATTTACCAAGCTACGAACCTAAATATTGACTTTTCAAAACTTAGTTTTCCAATCATAGAAATCTCATAAATACATTTTGGAAAAATATTAAATACTCAAACTGTTTTTTTTTTTTTTTGTACTTAAATATTCAAACTATTAGTAGCTAAAGAATAATGACAAATATAACAAAAAGGAAAATGATAGAACATTCACCCGCTACATCTATGATTATGGTAAATTAATAAATAATTAATTACTGGATAGAAAAAAAATATATTAACTACTAATTATTGAAATCTATAATGGCATATGTTTCTAACCAAAACGTCATTATCTTGGCACCCACAATTTTTTTTAGTAGTAGTTAGGATGAATATAAGTCTTTAGCTAAATATTTTACCTAAAAAAAGAAAAAGATACTAATACATAAGCAAATAGAGATTGAAAAATAGTTTTTTTTTAAATAAATTAAATAGCTCATGATACATATGTATCAACCCAACAATAAATACCTAAATATTATTGAAAGCAATTAGGGCGTAGGGAGTCTCAAATTCTGTAAAATGATTCCAAAAACTCATAATTTATGATTCACTAGAACCATGCTCGCTTTGATAATTTATGATTCAATTTTTTGTAGAGCTTCAAATATTAATCTATAATTGTCATTAATATGAAAAAAATTAAATGTTAGAATGAAGCAAACCATTGATTATGGTCATTAATATGAAAAAAATTAAATGTTAGAATGAAGCAAACCATTGATTAATAACAAAATCGTGGAACGGGTAAAAGTGTATATTATCGACACAATCTTTTGGTCGGAGATAATTATTGCATATTTTTTACTAAAGAAATTGATATATGTTTTTAGTAATTGTTGTTTTTTTTTCATGCTTGAGTCCACAATTTCTTTAAAATAAAACAACTTATAAATGTTTTACAAAGAAATTAACTATTGAGTGCCTTTGACTTCATAAAAATCATTCAATCTCGAAAACTATCAAGTTTATTCTTGCTGGTCCCGACCCGTCCATCAACACATATCAAAATGTATATTTTAGTCTCAAATTTTAAAGTGTTTATTACCACTTAGAATATTGGTCTCCGACATGTGCATTTAAGGTAAATATGGATAAGTGAAAATCATTAAAAAAAAAAGGTTAGGATCAAAATTGTCATGTTCCTAAAATTTAGAAATTAAGATAAACATTGTGGGATTGGACGGGACAAAAAAGAAACAAAGCCCAACCTACACAAATTAAGATTATAAAGTTCAAGAACGAAAAATGAAATAAGTTTAAGATGGTCTAAAATGAGATTTAAACCTTAAAAAAAATTATTTTTAATTAAACTCCCAACCCAGATCTTTCTATATATACACACATGCTACAACTCCCTCGTTTACTTTTATTTCTACCAACTCTCTTGTTTATTATTTCACCAATTTCTCTTTACACAAACTCAACCCTAACATTAATTAACTTCTCTTAGATTCTCTCATCAATTTCTCTTTTTTCACACACTTATCTTAGCAATTGTGATCTCTATATATGCATGCATACAGTCTCTTGCATCAATATTTTCTCACACTTATTTTTTTTTCAAATACTAATTTGATATGTAAAACTCCACTCCATAAATCCCAACTAATTAACACTGCTGTAATTGAATATCAAGTTCATTAACATGGAATTAATAAATTTATATTTTTTAACCTAGCTAATTCAAAACATTTCTAACTCATATATCTAGCTCCCATCCTTTTGTTTGTTCTGATTTTGCATTCTAGAATAATTAGAAACTGTTTACAATCAATTTTTGTTTCTCATCTAACCTTTAAAAAGGATTTTTAACCATAATCTAACTTTTAAAAACCCAAAAAAAATGTTTATTTTTAACCATAATCTAGTTCTTATCAAATGGTGAGCGCTAGAAGATTAATTAGTTCGTTGCATGTTGGATTAGTAAAAAGGCAGAAGTTCCCTATACCCTTTTTTACTTTTTGCAGTCCTTTCTGCAGCCATGCATTGACAAATCAAAACCCTAATATTTTTTAAACCCTAATGAAAAAAATAAAAAACTTCATTCACATAATTTCAAGATTATAATCAATCACTGAAGCAAAGTTCCTGAAGGAGTATATTCACTCCCAAGAAATTAAAACAATTTTAATTTTGAAAAACATCCAAAACCACACCATCTAGCTAGCCGCAAAGACTTGGTCATATCATAATAATAAAAACAAAAAAATAAAACCCCTCTAAACATGATATATAGTTAATAATTAATATTACACATCAAATTTATGGAAACATCTAAAAAACAAACTCATGAAATTGAAAATATCAAGTTTTATTGTCAGCGACTGACACTTCCAACAATGGAGAAAGACACAAGTTTGAATATAAGCGAAGCAAAATCGCCTCTATCTTTTTTACTCCATCAAAATTTCAAAATAAGGACAAGAAAAACAGAACAAAAAAGTAACCCTCGTTCTTGTCCAATTTATAAACCCCCACAAGAAAAAACCCAGAAACACCCAAATTCCATCATCTCATGCAAACATTGATCAATCGTGTAAAACCAATGGAGGGAGATGAATAGAGATGATCATGATCGAATTCCCACAGCCTCAAAAGGGATCAAATAGAATAGAATATATATAATGATGATAATTATAATCATATCATAAAATTAATGGCGATATTACGAACCAGCCGTGGGCGTGAGCAGCGGCGCATGCAAGGCAAGAAGGTGGAGAGATCCATTTCACAAGTCGAAGAAGAAGGGATCCGCGTAGTCCCAGAGAGATGGGATACAATCGTCATCATTGA